TTAGCCGAATATGACCCAAGCCCCACTCCATTTAGGTTTTGCTTCAGGACATCACTTTTCTCTCTCTACCTTTTCTTAAGGATGTGGGAAGAAAGAGATCTTTAAGGTTAACCAAGAAAGAAAAAGGATCAATGTCCTATTTTCCTACCATTGTGTTTATAGACCTCACTTCTTCAATCCAAAATAAGAAAAATGAAGCCAGGTGAGGGCCTGGCCCATCCCAGGCAAACGGTCCAGATGACAGTGAGTGCCTGTGTCTTCCCGTGTCCACACCTCCTGCTCCGTTTCTGATGCTGACCTTACTCCTCCTACCACCTCTGGAGTCCCTGCCACCATCCCTCCCCAAGTCTCAGCAGTGCCTAGTACTGTTACAACCTGTGCTCTGCTTTTTTATACTCCCGCTCTTTCTGCACTTGCATCCCAATAGGGCTGGTACATACCGGACTCAAATGATTAGCTAGCCTTCTAGAATTTAATGAACTAAGATATACATAATATTTTAAAAAGCACCTGACACCTTGCAAGGGCTCCACACACAACCGTGACCATTATTAACCTTCACTGTGACCTCCCAAGATAGGTATTGCTGGTCTCATCTTAAATGAGGTCATTTATTCACAATCAGAAGGCTGATAAATAAGTCACAGAGTAGGGACATAGCCCTCAGCCTACCAAGTGACCACAATTCCTGCTGTTTTCACCCCACAAGGAAGGAATCTCTAATGGTGAAACCATGGACACTGCAGGCCCCCAGGGTGAGGTCACACTGGTGTCCTGTGGTGTGCTGCTAACGTACTGCCAGAAGGAAGGGCTCAGGCGGGCATAGACTGATTCCCGAGCATGACCGGGTGAGCAGCCTGGCATGTTCTACCCACCTGTGATCTGTAGAATACTACCTCACATTCAGTCTCAAGGTTTTCCCAACTTTAAAATGGAAACAATTTACTTGGGGCATGGTAAGCTCCCAATACCTAGATATGTTCATGGCAAAAGCTAAAACCTCTTGAGAAGAAGACTCCAGAGAGGGACCCTGAAGTAGAGAAGGCAGCAAACCTGGTGATGTGAGTCACTCCCAACACTGGAAATGGAGACTTCACAGAACAGGCTAGAGATTAACAATGTTTTTTAAAAGCTTACTACCAGTTGCCCCAGCCAGTGTGGCTCAGCGGTTGAGTGTCCACCCAGAAACCAAGAGGTCACCAGTTCAATTCCTAGTCAGAGCACATGCCCAGGTTGTGGGATCCATCCCTGGTGGGAGGCATGCAGCAGGCAGCCAATCAATGATGTTCCTTTCTAATCAATGTTTCTATCTCTCTATCCCTCTCCCTTCCTCTCTAAAAATCAATAAAAACATAATTAAAAACAAAAAACAAAAAACAGAACACTTACTACCAGAGCTGAAAATATCACTAATGGTTTGGTTAAAAACTCTGAATGAACTCTGAGCTGTCTAATTTTTAATCTTTAAAACAGTCCTGAAAACTCATCCATTTCCATTATATATTACAAACCCATAATTAGGCCTTCTTCCTTTCTGGCTTGTCCTACATTTGAAAAGCATTCACCATTCTACTAAAGCACTTCCCTCAGAATAACCTCATCATTCTGTACTTGCACAATTATGTCATGGACATAATCACTGCCATCATGATTTCAGCAGCTATTTGTTGCACTACAATTTCCAGATGAAATTTTGGTGTGGAAACAACACAGCCACAAGAAGATAATTACTCACAACTCTACCATGAATATAGCACAGAGAGAATGAAATTAAAATGCTAATATTTTTATTATTTCATTTTTAATATCATGTTCATCTTTATATCCAGAAATTAATGACTGGAGACATTTATTGCTAGTATATTTTGTTTCTGATAGCTCATCCTCCGCCCCTCCCCCTCATTTATTGTTAGTATATTTTGTTTCTGATTCCTCCCTCCCTCCTTCCCTCCTCCTCCTCCTACTCCCCCTCCTCCTCTTCTTCTTCCTCCTCCTCCTCTTCTTCTTCTTCTTCTCCCTTTTCTCCCTCTTCTCCTGCTACAGTAACTACTTCTGCAAAGTCTGAAAACCCACTGTAGCTCAGCGGGCTCAGCTGAGTGGCTTAGCTGTCTGCACTGCAAGGATTTGATTCCCATTCAGGGTACATACCTAGATTGTAGGTTCGATCTTCTGTTAGAGCATGTATTGGAGGCAACAGATTGATATTTCTCTCTCACATCAATGTTTCTCCTACCACCACCACCCCCACCCCCCGGTTCCTCTCTCTAAAAATTAATAAATACATCCTCGGGTGAGGATAAAAAAAAAGAAGAGAAAAAGAAAATCCGCTGTAATGGACTGACATACCAATGCTACCATTGATCAGATTGGGATTTCTATCGGGTTTGCCCTTGGCAGCATAATCTTGAGCAAGCTCCTAAACTTATCTGTGCCTCAGTTTGCTCATCCAAAAACTGGGGACAAAAACAGAACTTACTCTTAAATTATTCTGAGAATTAAATTGGGTAACTTAGAGCTTCACAAATGCTCTGGATTTAGTTACTGCCAAGTCCATATCAGCAATTATCTCTTCAACTTATAAACTCAATTCAAAGATATTCAATATTTAAAATTTTACTCAGGCGTGGGTCAGTGGTTGAGCATTGACCTATGAATCAGGAGGTCATGGTTCAATTCCTGGTCATGGCACATGCCTGGGTTTCGGGCTTGATCCCTAGGGTGGGGCATGCAGAAGGCAGCGGATCAATGATTCTCTCTCATCATTGATGTTTCTCTCTCTTTACTTCTCCCTTACAGCGGTGGGTCTTTCAGTACCATTTGCTTCTTTTTCTGACAATGTATTAAACTCGATTATTCAAAGGTCACTTATGGCCCTAGCCGCTTTGGTACAGTGGATAGAATGTCAGCCTGCGGACTGAAAGGTTCAGGGTTCTATTCTGGTCAAGGGGACATGCCCAAGTTGTGGGCTCGATCCCCAGCAGGGGGAATGCAGAAGGCAGCCGATCAATGATTCTCTCTCATCATTTTTATTTCTATCTCTCTTTCCCTCTCCCTTCCTCTCTGAAATATATATATATATATATATATATATATATATATATATATATATTTAAAAGTCATTTATGAACATCAGTCCACACATTCTCTGAAGGCATAAGAGTTCTTTCTCCAAAACCCAAAGAAAGTGGATTTGTTCTCTGAGAAAATGGAACAGGCCAGCATGCTTGGTATCAGATTCTAACTAATTGGTACTGATTACTAGAGGCTTTTTGAGACTGACAAAAATGAGATCGTATTAGTAAACAAATCTGATGAAAGGAAAATTAGAGCCATTGCACTCCCAAGTATTTTCCAAATCTACCTTAATAAGCAGTTTCATTCTGTTGGTTCACAGCCATCCCACGTACCGTATTACGTGAATTTTGTCTGATTAATTTTAGAATATTAAAACTAATTTTTGGCTTCTACCACCGTGTTACCCATTTGGTCTCTGAGTATATTTTGGTTCCTGCAAACCTACCCCCAACATCTTACATAAAACCAAAGGCAAAATCAGGGTAATTTGCTCTAATCCAATCCCCTTGCTGCCACTGTCTCAGAGCATTAACTGACTGAAGAGAAGACTCAATCAAGATAGCCACTATGTCTTTTGAATAGTAGACAAATATAATAAGCTAAGCCAATGGTGGTAACCAATATATCATACTTCTAACTCACTGAAGGTACAAGAATCCACTACCAAGATGTTGGGCTTCCCCAAGAGAAAAGAAAAGTTCCTGATGATATAGTCCAGTGATGGCGAACCTTTTGAGCTCAGCGTGTCAGCATTTTGAAAAACCCTAACTTAACTCTGGTGCCGTGTCACATATAGAAATTTTTTGATATTTGCAACCATAGTAAAACAAAGACTTATATTTTTGATATTTATTTTATATATTTAAATGCCATTTAACAAAGAAAAATCAACCAAAAAAATGAGTTCCCGTGTCACCTCTGACACGCGTGTCATAGGTTCACCATCACTGACATAGTCCTTAACCAACCAGTAGCATGAAGATACCATAGCCCAAATAGTGTGGGGGAATATTAAAAAAGTGGAAGATCACTGTAGTCTCTACAGAGATTAAGAACTAGTTGCAGTCATAGAAGCATGAACAGACTGAACCTCAGAGGGAAGAAAGGAGAGGGTGAATGGGAAGAGATCAACCAATGCACTTGTATGCCTATGTGCATAACCCGTGAACATGGACAATGAGGTGGTGAGGGCCTAGGTGCAGGGGAAGATGGGAACGGGCTGGAAGAGATTAATGAAGGGAAACTAAGGACCTATGTAATACTTTCAACGATAAAGATTTTTTTTTTAAAGAATTTAAAAGGTATATCTCAACATTCTGAATAAAATGCAATAATATTTTTAAAAAAGAACAAGTTAGAGATATAACAATTCATGACAACATTTACTGGTAATATATATATATATATAAATCAGGTACCTGGAATGCAAAGATGCATAGAGGCCCCAGCTAGTTTGGCTCAGTGTCAGCCTGCAGACTGAAAGGTCCCAGGTTCAATTCCAGCCAGGGGCACGTGCCCAAGTTGCGGGGTGTGCAGGAGGCAGCTGATCAATGATTCTCTCTCATCATTGACGTTTCTCTCTCTCTCCCTCTCCCTTCCTCTCTGAAATCAATAAAAATATATTAAAAAAAAAAAAAAGATGTATAGGGCAGGCACAGCCATCAAAGGACACACATCTACCACAGGTCAGCACCTGGCCATCCCCAGGACATACACTAAGATCTGTGAGATGTAGGAGGCAGCCTAGGTCATTGTCAGCTGCAATCATCTAGGATTCAGATAAAATGTGAGTAGGGTATTAACGGAAGAGTTAGGATTTGAACAGGACAGAGGAAGAACAAGAAGGCAAGTATCCTAAAGGAGGCAAGAAGGGGAAGGCAGGCTTGCCTGCAGCACAGCTGGGGCTGATGAGTTAGCAGACAGACCAGATGAGCAGAGGGTCTTCCAACCAGATTCCCAATATCCCAGGCAAAGTTCGGAATGGAACATTCTTCACGCATGGTCTGCAAAACATTTTAAATATTTTAAATCTAGGAAAAATCATAACTAAGTTGGGGATAATAAATATACACTAAGCCACACCAGAACATGAAGTCACATATCACTCCTAGTTTTCAATAAATGTGTGTCCTCTGCTCCAGAAATTAGACTTTTTTCTTTAGGCCTATGTCCTTCCACAGCCAGCTCCCTAGAGGCTCTCTCCCCCACTTGGCAACGTGGTTCAACCTCAGACTCATAATGACCATCTGGATGGGATTACTCTTAAAGGCACAGCTCTGATACATCTACTAAATGCCATTTCCAAACTGAACTTTTGATTTCTCTGAAATCTGGCCTTTTCGATGCAATTTTATATGTGTTACCATTATCCATCCAGTACTTCAGAATTGAAAACCTGTTTACCTCCCACCTCTCATTTAATCAGTCTCTAAAATTCTGCTAATTTTGTCTCTAAAATGTGTCTTTTATTCACACATCCTTTCCATTCCTGTCACCCTCCCCTGGCGTCCAGGTCTTCACCGTATCTTCTCTGGACCTGGGCTGGTCTCCCCACCTTTGTCCTTTCCTGCTCCATATCGCCTGCTGCCAAATTAAGTTTCAGAATATACAAGGTTCCCTGGTGGTCTAGTGGTTAGGATTCGGCGCTCTCTCTCTCAGAATATACAGCTTCATACCCACATCCTTCCCATCCCCCAAACCACCAATGGCTTCCTGCCAAACAAATCCAAAACCCCTGTTCCCACCAACATTTCTCATCTTTTTCTTATTAGTCTGGCTCACAGCTCTATGGCCCAGTCATACTGCATTATTTGTTGTCCAGAAGACATGATCCACCCACCCCTACCACCTTGGTACTGCAGGAACACCACTCCACTTGCCCACATGTCCAGATTACTGCCTTCCCTTCAAGGACATCATCAAATGCTGCCTCTTCTATCCAGCCATTCTGAAACCTCGAGCAAGGAGTAATCTTTCACTCTCTAAACTCCAATAGCACTTCATCCAGAACCACCTGGCATTTGAGTTCCTTGTGTACCTGTATTCCTACTCCTACAGGGGTAACCTTCTAAAGGAGCATCTCTGCATGAAAATAACCAAACCAATGTTCTAAGTAAGTTAGCACTTTTTTTTTTTAAAGAATCGTCTTTTTTTTTTTTTAATTGATTTTTTACAGAAAGGAAGGGAGAGGGATAGAGAGTTAGAAACATCGATGAGAGAAAACATCGATCAGCTGCCTCCTGCACACCCACTACTGGGGAAGTGCTCGCAGCCAAGGTACATGCCCTTGACCGGAATCGAACCTGAGACCCTTCAGTCCGCAGGCCGACGCTCTATCCACTGAGCCAAACCAGTTAGGGCAGTTAGCACTTTCTTATGAGGAGGCATTATGCCAAGAGTTATGGAAGACATAAGAGTATCAGCTGATAGCTACTTTGGAAAATTATGTTTGACCCATGCAAAAGAAATAAGCCCATGTAATAATATTAATAACTTTGTTTAATCATCATATACAGATATTAGCTACTTAAAGTCATCAAAATACAGGACATCTCAGAGAAAGGGAGTCTCCTTAACAGAAGGACAAATCTGAGGTAGCATACCACAGTGGCTTCTAGCATAAACTCTGAAGCCATTCAAACTCTGGGTTCTAATCTCAGCTCTGACACTCTCTTTGTGACCTTGAGTAAGTCAGTTAGTCTCCCTGTGCTTCAATTACTTATAAATAAATTAAAGTAGAGATATTAATAAGACTGTGAGAATTATGCACATACTATATGCAAAACACTTAGGCAGTGGTTCTCAACCTTCTGGCCCTTTAAATACAGTTCCTCATGTTGTGACCCAACCATAAAATTATTTTCATTGCTACTTCATAACTGTAATGTTGCTACTGTTATGAATCGTAATGTAAATATCTGATATGCAGGATGGTCTTAGGCGAGCCCTGTGAAAGGATCGTTCGACCGCCAAAGGGGTCGCGACCCACAGGATGGGAACCGCTGACTTAGAGCCTGGCACACAATTAGTGCCATGCGTGTTCATTAGTCTTATTATCATTGTGAAAATGTTTTCTATGGGGAGAGAAAAAAAAAAAACAGGAACCAGATATTTGACAGCTTAGATACCTAGCCAGATTTTTACTAGAGAGACTTCACCATCTTACAATCGTCAAGTCAGATTTGCTCTATTCCCTGACAAGGATCCTTTGACTGACAGGTAGGATGGGATTCACTAGGGGTGGCTCTTTGTACAATTGATTGAATGCTGTGAAAACAGAGCAGGCTGCAAGACCACTGAATCAAACACAAAGCTTTTAGCCACTGAGGGCTGGCCCACAAACAGCCGTTGTTTGCCATAAACAACCCCACTGTTGTCATCCAGATGGGTGCCAAATGAAGCCCATTGACTTACCCATTTTGGTCAGTGGCTCTGCATAGACACACCACAAATGCAATTAATTGCTGCAAAAGAAATCTAGAACTATGCACTGAATTGAGTCTGATAAGCAAGGTTTTAAGTTGAGCTTTTTAAAGGACACTAATCCACAGCATTCAGTAACACTACGCATGTATGAGTCCGTTTCAAAGGCCATCACATCATACAGTGATTTATTAGCGGTGTGGGAAACAGCTGTAACTAGAGGGTACCAACATCTGTCATTTTCCCTCAAAATTTTTAGAACACAGACATAAATTGCCACAAATATCTCAACCTGAACTTGCATTGCAGGTACATATTCATACATAGTAAAATGAAAACTTCTAGGACACTTGATGCTTTACTATTTTTTACTAAAATTACTTATAGTTCATTACTGATATGTCATAATGATTAGAGTGGCAGAATAACAAATTCACATGTATCATCATCTCATTTTCTGATAAAAATAGGAATTATAAGAATTATGGTAATAAGACTGATGCTACACAAGAACAAACAAAAAATCTGTCTCTTTTTCCAAGGTTGGAATCTCTGTTTTCATTCCCTAGTTGGAATACAAACATGGCTGCTTCAGCAAGGTATCTTCATTCCAAGTGTGAGAGGTTAGGCAAGATAGACTGACTGCCAAAATAAACACCCCAAAATCTCATTGGAGTAAGGCAATAATGGTTTGCCTTAATCTCTTCTTAACACTGCATTCCAGAGCAGCTTTGTAAGGGAGGCTCTGCTCCACACTGTCATTCAGGACCCAGGTTCCTTCCACCTTGTGGCTCCATCATAACCTAGGACTTCAGCATTCACCCCTGCAGCTGGCCAGCAGACCAGAAAGAGAGCAAGTGTGCAAAAGGCACCCCATTCCTAACTGCCTCTCATCTTTACATACATCCTATCCTGTCAGTCAGAATCAGTCCCGTGAGCAAACTACGGCCCGCGGGCCGGATTCAGCCCGTTTGAAATGAATAAAACTAAAAAAAAGACCGTACCCTTTTATGTAATGATGTTTACTTTGAATTTATATTAGTTCACACAAACACTCCATCCATGCTTTTGTTCCAGCCCTCCGGTCCAGTTTAAGAACCCATTGTGGCCGAAGCCGGTTTGGTTCAGTGGATAGAGCATCAGCCTGCGGACTGAAAGGTCCCAGGTTCGATTCCGGTCAAGGGCATGTACCTGGGTTGTGGGAGATGTGCAGGAGGCAGCTGATCAATGTTTCTCTCTCATCGATGTTTCTAACTCTCTCTCTTCCTTCCTCTCTGTGAAAAATCAATAAAATATATATTTTTTTAAAAAAAAGAACCCATTGTGGCCCTCGAGTCAAAAAGTTTGCCCACCCCCACCCTGACCGGTTTGGCTCAGTGGATAGAGCATCAGCCTGCGGACTCAAGGGTCCCGGGTAAAAAATCAATAAAATATATTTTAAAAAAAAGTTTGCCCACCCCTGATCTAGCCAGTTGCCACAATCACACAACAACGCTCAGGTCTACCACTATTTTCCACTAACATACACTCAAATTAATCCCAACAAATCCACATTATCAATAGTTTGTTTATTCATTTGCTTCTGTTCATTCATCCAAACTCCTAAACAAAACAAGGTCCCTAAGGACAAAGAATTCACAATGGAGCAGGGGCACAACCATATTTAGAATTATCATACACAGGCGTAAGTGGGATTAAAAAGAACAAATGGAAGGAAAGTTAATTCTGTCTGAGAGGGTTGGGGAGCACCCATAGGGCAAGTGAAATGAGAGGGAAATCTTGATGAATATAGTTACAACTTCCATGAAGATGTTGTGGGGGTTGTGTGTGTGTGTGTGTGTGTGTGTGTGTGTGTGTGTTTGGGGTGGAGGGGGTATTGTGAGGGTGTGACCCAGGGAAAGGGAACTGCATGAACAAAGCAAAGACAATATGAAAGGATATGATTTATTCCACTTTCTGATATGGGAGAAAATAGTAACTGGGATAGGAGGAGATTTTTGTTGAAACATGTTTTAATGCTGTATTCACGAATGTTTTCAGCTCCTAGCAGCTGATCGAATCTCTCACACCTACATTCTGTAGAGTGGTCCCTCCAGAAACATTTCACACCACCACACTTTGCAGACACTTGTTAGCACAGGGCAAACCTCAGGTAATAACCAGAAATCTCACTGCAAATTCCCCCCAAAATATTCCATCACCAACTCTTTCAAACAACATGGCCTCAAAATCACATCAAATCGATTCGGTGGTTCACCAAAACCATCCATCTTCCCAAAGACAAGACAGTTTAGAAGTCAAACCTCTTAAATTATGTTACATTGAACCTGTTTAAGTTTTCACCTCTTCCAATTCTTAATCCCAGTGGTGAATGTGGGTCCCAAGATGAGGTTAAGAGCATGGACTGTCTGGACTCTGGCATATCCGGGCTCTGGCATAAACTCACGTAAGTTTCTAGGCTCAGCTACCTCCCAGATAACAGGCTTAAAGTACTTAGTACTATACTTAAAGCATATAATATCTAAATACTATTATCCTTGTACTACAGTTAGGTCCCCCAACCCCAAAATTATTATAAATT